GCCAAATTTCTGATACTGCCCGTTGCTGCTGAGTAATTATACAGTTAGTAAAAAACGTTATTGGCTTTAACTACTGTTTTTTTGTTACCAGCAGAGCAATTATATATTTAAGGCAATAAGATACATGGAGTTGATGGTATTTCTCAGCGGGAGGTAAGATTAGATGAAGGGTGAGTGGGAAGAGGTGCTTAATCGACAACATAGAAAAAGGAAGTGGAAGTCGAATTTTAGACTGGGGCCTTTTGTGCACTTTGGGATCCAATCCCAAGAGGTGATAAGTAAGTAAAAGGCGCTTATAGTATTTAATTTGATTCCAATGTAACCCCTTGGAAGAATACTGCTTTCTAGGGAGTCAAACACTGACTTCGGGGCACCAACGGCTGATTGGTTACCGACTTCTGTTCTAATAGAATCACAGTGGTTGAGCAGGTTCTCGGTCGTGCTTCCCTGCAAGAACATTTTGAGTTAAATCCTGGGACGTCCATGACCATTTTGTTTGGACTCCGGTTCCTCCGGGCGTGTTGTTTCTCCTATCATCCAAAGCCTGCAATGATGATGGCGGTCGGAGTGGCCAATGGCAGAGACTGACTGCTTCCCTTTCGCCACCACCACGTGTGCACTGAATGGATTGTTACTTCAACTATAGCCTGGGAAGTGGTCTTCAAGGGCAAGGGATTATTATAAAAGAGATACTATGTTTGACTCTGTTTCTACACCCATCGGCTTACTCGTAATTTTCACTTACAGGTAAACAATCACAAATTAGTCTCTAGTAAGTACATTATGGAGTTTACCCTCTGCTTTGCTTGACTGTATAGAGACATATTTAGGATGAACTCTTTGGCCCATAATAAACAAGGATTAAGGATAGCCATGTCTAGAAATAGAGGTTAAGTCAGTTTAAAGGTGAAGCATGGCCTCTAGTGGGATTTAAGATTTATGTTGCAGGTCGAACCGGGACGTCGTCAAAGCATTTCTATTAAAGTGTAACAAAACATAGAACATCTAAACGGCCTTAATTAACGGAACATTCAAGGTAAAATCAATTAGTCAGAGCTGGAAGAAAGGATTGTGAGTGCTAATGAGTGTTTACAAAGTGTTTGCGTGGTGGAAGTCATTATCTGTGCTGCTGTAAATAAAGAGCACATTTAGTGTCGTTAGGCATGTTTCCAAAGGAGCACAATGGAGAAGCGTGGAGAAATGCAGGATGCTTGGACGTATATACATGTAGCCGTAACTTGGTCCCTTTTTTAAAGATAAAGATGTCATTGGTAACACGTAATCACTTAAGCACGATTCATGCACCCGACAAAGCTCTTTAATGAGATGTTTAAATAAAGGATTTTCAACATTTATCATCGGAATTCCCTGAAAAGTTTCATACACTAATCACTTTTAATAGTTGGGGATTTCTGGGGCGACAGTGGCTCAGTTGGAAGAGCGTTGGCCTTTGAGCCCGAAGGTCGTGGATTCGAGCCCACCACGAGACCTTCTCCACTAACTCCCACTGATGTCTGCTGTCGTTGTGTCCTTGGGCAAGACACTTAACCCACTTTGCCTATAATAAGCGCGGAAGTTATGTTCGCTGCTTGCCTTGATGTGTATATGTATACTGTAAGTGTATGTATGCATCAAACTGAAATTTCCCCATTGTGGGACAAATAAAGGACCTTCTTCAACCTGCATATCTGTATTGAGGTCATTAATGGTTTTAATTTTGGTGCGAAATGTTGACAGACCCACTTAGTTACAACACATTAGACTTATGTTATGTCTTTAGTTATGTCGTGTGATCTGTCTATACATTTGATGGACGACGATTATATCCACAATTATTACCGATCACTGTCCAGTTTTTTTTTCATTGCATGATCAATAATCCTATGAAACAGTCTGGTCCTGCGCGTTACTGCCGTGCCCATCTAAACATTAGTATATCTGTAAAATCCTAATTACCAACTCGCTTTAGTGCACAACTTTTTGTCTCTTTGCTTTTAGATGAGAAAAGTTTGAGAGCCTCTGTGGCGGTAGCTGGGCCCGTACAAAGTCAAGGTTAGAATTCACACACACATACAGTACATGTTAAAGAACAGCTGAGATTGGCCTTGTCATGAGGGAGAAATGCAATCATACACACGCGCGCATGCAAATGAACCTGCTGCCCTGGTGCTGGCAGAGCATTGTATTGTGGGACAGAGGAGACAATCTCTTCATGAATGATTAAGCAGTGGTTCTCTTTGAAGCAGAGAGCCCTGTTTGATCTTGGGACCACAATGCGATTGCTTCCGATTCAAGGGTGTAAGTTAGCACCCCCCTTTACGAGCAGATTATGGCGTTTTTTCCGTAATTTGTCCGACCGATCTCTTGTCTACTTTTACAGGCTGTGTGCAAAAAGGTGAATGAATGTCAGCCATGTGTAAGGAGTGATTTTAATGCTTTGAATTCTGTAAAGAGCAGCATTTGGACTGCACTGGCTATCTCTAGTATATTAATCATGCAAGGAAAATGTTTTATTCTCATAACTCCCATGACATTAGTCTGGTATTGACTCATTCTATCCATGCTCTACATACATACTTTCAGACGTCAAAGAAGATCGAGGTCACTAACTTAATAAACTTAATTATGTTTATAATAAGGTACTTTAGTAATAATAATAATACATCAAACTTATATAGCGCTTTTTTGGACGCTTTACAAAACACATACAAATAAACATTGAAGAACAAAATTAAGGAAAGGCCAGCTGAAAGGTGGGTTTTGAGAAGTTATAAAGTTCTGTAGTGAATCTGAGTTTCTGATGGGTTGTGGGAGTGAATTCCAGAGAGTCTGTTGATTAACATTGCAACAAATGATAATGATGTGGAGAAATGTATGTCATGATTTGGAAAGTGTTATTTTTGGTTAGCGTAAATCTTAAAAGAAAGATAAGCGGACAAAAACAGCATCAAATGGTTTCAGACAATACGGCTAACGTGTGCAAGATGTCCTATGTAATATGTCAGCCCCCTTTGCAAAGACTTCACTTCATCGACTTAATCTGTAAATGTGATGAAGTCCCATTGATAGAGGCTCCTCCTAACAGAGCTCCCCACAGCTGCCCACGCTTGTGAGAAACTATTGTTGGGGCGTTCAATGGAGACGCGCTTGTTTGGGAAAAGGTTGCAAAGTCATGGGAAAAGAGAGCTTTGTCTCGATGGGGTCGTGAGGGAGTGAATCATGAGCGGACGTGTTTATGGCTTAACACACACAGCTGCAGCCGACATGTAAGACGCGCACTGGACGCTGTGGAATCCTTAGAAAGAACAACACGCAATTGTTTTAGGCACAGGGGAGGATCGTTCCTAATTTAGCTCAAGCATTGACGGAGATGGAAGGCGTAAGACTGTGATCATATTACGACTACTGTTAACTGCAAATATTATGATATAAGCAGTGTAGATCATGGCAGCGTTTTACTTATTATGTTGGTCCACTTTGTCATTAAAGCTGGATCAAACTTTCACACTTTGAGCTACGTAAAAAAACCATCATCCTTGCTCCATTATTTTCACATACATGTATTTTTTTTGCTGAAAATAGGATCTAATAGGCTGAAAACAACATGTGATTGTTGATTTATTGACAACAATTTCAAGATTTTCTTTTGGGACAAATTACTTATTTGTAAAATTTTAAAAAGTTGGGTACCCCACCTTTAAAGTAAAGCAGAGGATTGTCATCTGATGGGCTGCTGATTAAATCCTAGCTTTCATGATTGAATACTGCTGTTGTGTCTTTGGGGCAAGACTATACTAAGATATTTTCCGTGTATGAAAGTGGGTGAATGGCTATTGGTGAACGATGAAAATTGGTAGCACCCACCAATAGGACAAAGACATGCAATTATCTTCAATAAGGGGGAACTGAGCTGACATAACAAAACAGTTAAAGAGAGATAAAAGAAGAAATATGTTTTGTAGTTTAGTTTTTTTCCAGTGACCAACACAAGGAGAATAATATACAATATTCATCACACTATGTAAAAAACACATCTGCTTTGGGTAGCATTGCAGACACATCCCACATGTGATAAAATTACAAGCTCCTTTTTCTTATCACGCTGTAAAGGCTAAATGCTACACTTCGACTGAGCCAATGTGTGTGTGCCGGTTCTTAGACAGGGCGGCTCTATATGACACAAAGAGATGCTTTTCTTATCCCAAAACCCAGTGTCATCTGCCCATACAAAGGCCAGTGCTCTTCAGTCCCAGCCACCTGGATCCACATAGAGACCCCAGTGTGGCAGCCCAGCAGACAATACACCCATTTTGGAGAATATGTCTTTTTTTTGGAAACGCATAGCCAAGCCATTCAGTTGACACAGTTATTCTGCCCGTTCAGAACTGCTTAAGGTTGTCGTGGCCACAGTTTAAATGTGTTTGTTTGGTCTTGGTCTCAACATATTTGATGGATTGTAGCTAGCATGTCCTTTATATCCCAAAGGGTTACAGACTTTCTATACACACAATGGAAAACATGCTTTTGAAAACAGTTTTAGCTTTGCACCACATTTGTTCCCTACTTTTGATTTGATTGTCTTTGGTTGTGTGTCTGCTGGTCATTAAGTGAGATGGGGCTAGACCAAACTCATTTAGGACTGAGCATTGTCGAGTGGACCAAGACAACAATCACTTACAATCACCAAAATCACAATGCACAATCTCCACCAGACACACTCAAATAGAATATTGAGCAGAGGAGGAGGGGACGCTGTGAAATATTTGTTCTTGATAATCTATGGACCCCCAAACACAGTTCTTATTTACTTCCATTACAATTGGCTTAATCCATCGCCTTCGTAGTTGCATTAATTGTATTCTGTTCAACCATAATTGAGCAGCCCATTGCAAATCTTAATTTAATTTACTGCACATTCATACACTTTTTGCTGGCTATCCCCCATGCTATGCAGTTTTGGCACAGCACTATGAACATACTACAACAGAAAAAAGTCTCACCTGGATTTGCTGCTGCAGGAGGTTGATTTTGTGTTGCTGTTGCAGAAGCTGCTGTTGTTGTCGGGCAATCTGCACACACACACACACACACACACAAACACACACACACACACACACACACACACACACACACACACACACACACACACACACACACACACACACACACACACACACACACACACACGCACACACGTACACAAACATGATTAAATGTATATTTACAGAATAGGGTCTGTGTGTGAAGGCAGCACCTATGGGACCTCACACATGCCTCAAAGGGCCCCATAGCATGACACTGTCCCTCTGCAATATTAAAGAACTCATCTGATCAAAGGCGACCGGGCAGAAGAAGCGACACACTTACTGAGATGTGTACACACAATCAAACCAAACAAATGGACTTTTTTATGTCACTGTCATCACATCTCATCCCTCAGGATTTATCCGTACAATTTGTTTGGTTTACCAGCATTTCCTTGAAGAATGACATATTTCCAACTCAATTATGTGTTTCTGTTTTTTCAAATCTATAAAATAGTCAGTGTGGTTTGTTTGAATCTCCGTCCACACGTAGTACTAGCCTAAATTGCACATTCAGTTTTTGTCTTCAATTAATTGCTCAAATAAACAGAAGGTTGAAGTATAATACAAAACGTCACTGTAAATATATTGATTTGAATATTTTTCACTACATATAGTTATATAGTTAGTTTAAAAGCATATAATCAACTCCAAGTTAGGAAAACTGTTCCACCATGCCATGGATACTTGTTTACAATTTGCATTTAGCTATGGCACTGTTGTAGACTACCTGGATGTTAATTGTGACATGTAATCATTAGCCTCCATTCAGCACACGGCTTTTATTTTAATGTCATGTTCATAATTCTATCAAAACTCCCGATTTATTTGACACTTTCATGTTTGTAAGAATCATAACAATGAATCCATGTTGTCAACAGATCAGTACAGTGACATATCAGTGTGGCATGTGCGTCACAAACATCCGGGAAAACAGCCGTTGGTGCTAATTGTCCACTCAGGTGCTATTAACAGAGATCACCGGAGACAAAATGACAATCTGCTATTAGAAGTGCACTAGAAGCAATGGAAGAGAGGAGAAAAAACTAGAACCAGATCCATCAAAAGCATATACAAAGAGACTCAAATCATGTGGCCCTGGTTTATAGAATGCAATGGAAAATACATTAGTCAGGCCGATGACCTGATGCTGTCCTCCACATATGACCATCTATATATTGATATTACAGTTCATATGACATCGGCATATTGAGATGAAACGACTCGGTTGCCTACCTTCTCCGTCAGTCTCTTTATTATTTACTTTATCTTTCATGATGGGATTCAAAAAAGATAATTGGCCAAGTGACAGGACTGTCAACATCAACTATTAAACCAGGGAAAGGGCCTGGGTGGCAGTAGTCTGAGGGGACTGAGGACTGAGGGGAGAACAGTGACGGTGCATGTATATTAGGATGCACATAGCCTTAACAACATGTAGGATTCACGTTGAAAAAGATTTAAGTGTGGATTAGCAAGTAAAAATGACTATACAAAGCAGAATGAAGTTTTTGCAGGTTGTGTCCCCTTTAATTGACGATGGCTGAAGCAGACCCCCCACTGTTAGCACTTGTATGTGTTACCTGGTCTTGCTGCTGTTTGGCGAGCTCCATCTGCTGCCGCTGCTTCTCCATCTGAGAGGCGGCCAATTTCTTCTGCTCCTCGTGCGCGGCCAGGAGCTGCTCCCTCAGGCTGCTCAGCTGGCCGATCATGCCCATGAGCTGGCGTTCTTTCTCCGCCAGGCTGTCTGGGGTACCTGGGGCAGGAAGAGAAGCGAGGCCAGAGGTCAGCACAAGCAGACTTTGAAGAAAAATGCAAGACGCGGTTAAGGTTACGCCATGAAACCTCTTTCATCCTTTTAACAGGATCGTCCGCTCGCAAACATAAGTCAGCTTATAGGGCTTCCGACGCAAGTCATCTTTAGTTAAATCAGAACGGCATGTTTTATGCGCGAGACAAGGGCAAGTAAATAAGGCTTATAGTTCTATGTCTGTGTATTGTAATGTAAGCTTAGTCAAAATCAACATGGCATACACAGGTTAAAAAGATAACACTTTTCTCTGCTTACAATCTAACTTCTTAAAGCTGAGGCATCTAACTTTCAAACTTCAGAAAAATTAAACCATAAAATACTTTGAACTGGTTCTGTCACTGGTTTTCACATACAAATATTTAGGCCTTTGTCACACATTTTGATCAGAAAAAAAAAAAAAAAAAAGGAAGAAACACCCTCACTCAGCCAATCAGCTCTCAGCCCAAAGCGTCAAATACTGACTCACTCGGGCTCTTTTTTCCAAAAACATGTTTTCTTTTAAGACAGACTTGATGTTGTGGTCCTATGCCAAAAGATAGCCCAGATAATAGTTGTAGTGGATTGTTGCAATAATATTTTGTTCATCCACCAGACCTTTAAGCATGGCTGGCACTCGGGTCAGAGGCTAGAGGCATGAAGGGGAGCGATGGACGAGGTAGGAACAACAAAGCGGCGTAAAGCTATCCTTGGCTCCTTGTTCAACATAATATATGGTGGCGAGGAGGGGGTCATGGAGGTGCACTGGGACAGCTCTGTGAGTGTGTGTGTGTGTGTGTGTGTATGTGTGTGTTGCTGGAGTGAGGGTGCTGTGTTGTAAAACCAGATGTTGAGTCATTTTCCTGGGCACCAAAGACATCCGTCAACCTCTTTATTGCCTTATTGAAATGGAAAAAATTATATCTAACCTGGGAATAACTATAAATGTGAAGAAAAAAACAGGTTTCGCCAACCAACCAAGACGAGAGGCCATGCATTTTGCCAAGGTTAAAAGTTATATTTCCAAAAGTTTGTATGCTGAATTGTGTTGTTTTCGTTTTTTAGTGTGAAAAAGCCACAAAATAAAATAACATAATTTTAAACTATTTATTCTGCTATAACCGCATTTTTTGCAAAACAACACTTGGTCATATAAGTATGAGGACGAGTTATACAAGTGCAGTCAAAAAAGAAAAGAAAAAGAAAAAAAATGTCGTGATGTTGGGTAGCAGCTGCATATATATTTCTCTTTTGGTTGGAGTATGTGCAATAAAACCCACAAATACAATATAACAACCGTGAACCAAAAAGTCCAAGGTCAGCTCCAATGTTATTAATAATCATAGGCATGGACATTACGTTGTGTGTTCTGCTGCTAAAGATGTTTGTGTCTGTATAGAAATACTTTCGTTTTTTAACATCTTACTCATATCTAGAGGAAAGATGCATATACTGCTCAAGTTTATATATTGTAAATCTGTTCATGTATACTGTGTAAATACTCTTGTACCGTTTGAATATGTTATATACATACTGTCCGTCTATTTGTATGTGACACTCTTACCTTTTTGATGTTGAAAAAACGAAGAATTAATAAATATCTACAAAAAGCATGTAATCAAGTAATGGCATTATATTATATCTATGTGGTTTGTATGAGAAATGTACTTTTACTAGTGCACAAGGCAGAACCATGTTGGTGGGGTAAAACGGTGGAAAACAAAGTCATGATGGAGCTACCTGGCAACTTGTCCTGAAACAGGAGGTAGGTTTGCAGAAGGGACAGGGGGGGTGAGTGTCTGGGCGGGGGGGTCGGCTGTGATTGCGTGAGGCCCACAACAAGAATGAGAGTGAGTCTGGTCTGTGTTTACTCTGCAGTCAGCCAGCCTCCTGCTCACATTTAGCATGGCTCCACCTCTGACCTCTCAGATCCTGCCACAACGGCTCCATTACACACACACACACACGCACGTACACACACACATGCAAGCACGCACACACACACGCACTCACACACACATTAGGACCAACACACTCTCCCTAAATCATTCAGCAGGATGTAGTTAGGGAGAGGCACCGCGGCCACTGTCTCGTACGTAGCTCGGCGTTGTAGCAGCACAATCGGCCATTGTTCTAGGGCTGCCATACCTTTAACGGAGGCAAATTCCACCGCCAAGCAAACCAGATGAGGACCAAGGAGGAAGGGGGAGGGACGAGGAGACAAGGGCCCGGGCTAACTCCAAAATCAGTGTGTTTGCGAGGCCCTGAGCGCCAGTGATGTTGTCGCAGAGTTTGCAGAGTAACACTTCAAGGTAAACATAAGGAACGTAAAGGCAAATACTGCTACTATAGTAACAGTAGTAAACATTTCCAAAGATGAGATATATAGACCCGATAACAATACGTTACTATAGAAACAACTGATTTATGCCACAATACTAAAGACATCATACCACAGCTAGATGATGTTTTCCCCATCAGTGCAACGGAAGGTAATACATTTATGACACACCACAAAAACATATTGAAAAATATATAGACTTTTTAAAGTTATAGTTACGGTTAAAGTTACTTTTAGAAATACATAGTGGCCCCATGAAATATAAATTGTTTGAATTGTTAAACTAATGCATCGTGCACTACTATTAGTTTTATATCTACATTATTTTATGCAAAAAGAAAATGATCCTTGAAACAATCCTTTTTGGTGCCAAAGTAACCAGATTTCTACTCACAGCCTAAAACTTCTGTGTTGTTTCTTTGCAGCACCTTGGCTTGCCAAAAACACTTTCCAAATCCTCTATCTCTAATCAACTTGCGGGGCTCCCCCTTGTCCGTTTTCCCAACAGAAAATATAAGAAAAGCAATGTTCACCCTCAAAAATAACGAAATACGTTTAACGCCAAGATTTTCCAAAAGAACACAGAACCCAAGTCTCTATGCACTGTACAACAAAGGCTTTTGTGGCTAACAGTCTATAAAAGCACATGGCAGCCCGGGCTTGGCCTCTGACCGCTGCAGGAAGGTGAAGGCTATCCATTTTTCCTCCCTGTCGGTCGCTGCCACTTGAGTGTGCACCCCCTGCCCTCGCAAACCCCCTCCAGACCCCCCCACGCCTCACTATACTCCTCTCTCACTCCATCCATCCGCCAACAATGAACAATAAAGGCAACTGTCGGGACCGCTGGACGCTGGAAAAATAAACACTGGGCTGTCCTAACTCACAAACGCACCTTTGTGAAGAGAGGCAAGTGTGTGTGTGCGCGTTTGCCACTGACCGGGACAAGAAAGAGTCCTGTGTTAAACCACGGGCCTGTTCGGATGGGGGTGGGCGGTCAGGGGGTGATGGGGTGATGTTTGGGGGGTTGTAAAGGTGACTTTTTGGATCAAAGAGGTCCTTTTTGTTGCAGGGGGGTTGTCTTGGCACGGGCGCACACACATGTCCGAAGGCAAATAGTAAAAAGTGGAGTGATTTCTCTGACTAACAGTGTCTAAGTGTGTAGTGAGGGTGGGGATGGGGCACTGGCTTAAGACTTTCGGCAACAACAACTGATTAATGGCACTTTCAGAGGAGCAACATTTTTGAGAAATTTGACCCAAACCAGACATCACTTATAATTCACAGCAAACAAGATACACATAAAAGGCCAGTTCTTGTAGCACAGTCCATAGGAGTGGCATTTACTTTTACATTCACATTTATTTACAGGGGTTGGCAACCTTTATAAATCAAAATAGCCATTTTTCACCCTATTATACCCAAGAAAAATAGTACAGCACATCCTAAACATTTTGTTAAACTGTTGAATAAAACCAACATAAATCCTACATGAAAAGGAAATATATCACAAGCGTGCAATGTGGAATATCGTGACATTTGTGGATCGTAATGCACCACCGTGGTACAATGCATTAACCTTGCTCACAAGCTAAATTCTCACGGTATTACAAATACCAGAACTCTGCTTAAAGTTCTACACAATATCAATCTGGGTTGGCTCTTATACCAGAGTTACAAGTCTTTGTTGCAGTCCTTACATATTAACGTAAAGAATGTACAATTATTCCAACGTTATGCAAGCACAACCATACACAACACATATATAGACTGAAATTTCCCCACTGTGGGGCGAATAAAGGATCTCTTCATCTAAATCTTAATCTAGGAAATACAGTATATCCTATGTTTCACAATAAAACCAACATATAATCTGTTGGAATATTCACTGGCTGTTAGAGGTGCAACGGTTCATCACTGATCCGTGATCCGTTCGGTTCAACGTCTTCGGTTCGGTACAGACGTGATCCGCGGTTTGATTTATGAAAAAAAAAGTTGTGCGCACGTTGTTCAGTCCACACACAGCGTGGTCATTGCGAGCGGAGGAACGGAGATGCTTGAAAGCCCTGCGTCTTAAATCCCCAGTATGAGAGCATTTTGGCTTCACTGTAACTACACTGATGATTAATATTCGACAAAACTGTCACGATGTGTAAGCACTGTGGCACAAGAAAGACATGAGTGAAAAAAGCGTCTCAACGACCACCTATTGTCGCGGCATTTAAGCAGCTCCTTTACGCACAGTCAGACCAGGCTAAAGTCAACTCTCCCGCGCATCCTCAGCTGCGCTCACGACTGACGCTTGGACGTACCGCAGAAACTATAATAGATCCATGAGCGGAACCGCTCAGTTCATCACCGCAGACTGGGAGATGAGAAGTCTGGCGCTGCAGACACGCCCCCTCTACGACAGTCACACTGTCACACAGCGCAGGTACTGACACAAGCAGCGGAGGAATGGAAGACAAAGGCCCAGTACTAATATCCCAGTCACAACTGATAATGCCAAAAATTAAATAAATGCAGTGAATGAGGCTGGACTGGGCCCAGAATGGACCCCCTCCTCGGGAGAATCAGGAAGGTGGTGTAATATATGAGGGTAAGAAGTGCCTTCTTATGTTGCACTTTGTGTTGTTTTTCATTAATTATGTAGACATAATTGGATGGATGGAATATGCCTTCCATCCATCCATCCATTTCCTTCCCCTTAATTCATTTCTAGCTCAGGTGGGGGCAGTCAGAGCAGGTGCCGAGTCCACATGAGCTGTGTTTATTAAAAAGACAAAACTTTTTTTTAGAAAAATGAACCGAAAAATGAACCGAACCGTGGCCTCTGAACCGAGGTACGAACCGAACCGTGATTTTTTCAAACCGTTGCACCCCTACTGGCTGTATAAACCTTTAATTGGGATTACTGTATTAGACGCTGTTTACTTTTTACTGTATTCAAGAAAGAAAATACAACATACAAAAATACAATAAACACTTTGCATAACACATTATATTGAGTTCATTTTATAATTTGCCATTTGCCAAAGTAATTTTATTATACGACAAGAATCATCACAGTAAAAAAGGGAATTTTAACAGTGTACAGTGTGTTGACCAATATGAAAGTGCTCCACCCAGTCACACTGCATATTATTCTATATGTTTTACAGCAGGCATTGGGTGGAACCAGTGCAAACCATAGGTGTGAAACCCCTTCACATGACTGGCCCTGTCTCGACCGTTTAGCCCCTTCACTATTTCTCCTCTCCCCTCCATAAATCAGCTCTGTCTGCTTGTTTCCTCAGCCGCGAGTGGATCGATAACTGCTTTCCTCATTGGTTTTACACACAGCTCACACAAGTCCTTTAGGCAGATAGCGAGAGCTCGTGTATGTGTGTGTGTGTGTGTGTGCCGGTGTGCGTGTGTGTATGTAAAACCAGCCAACCTGCACCACCTAGGCGTCTCTCTATGCTTGTTCGCACACAAACACACACACACACAACGCGTAATTAACCAATTTGTAACAATGTTATACTTGTCACAGCATTGGCTCTGCTAATTAATGACCCGCTGCATTGATAACTCCCTCCGGTTAGAAGTAAATGGAAGAGGAAAAGGCCGAGCGAAAAGGCAAGTATATAAGACTGAATGAATAAAAGCCGACGAACAAAACGGAACAACGAGGCAGACAGAAAACTGAACATTATATTCACCTAGAAACGTTAATCCACTTAGACTTGAGATAATTAAGGTTTTGCTTAACCTGATTCTGCGGCTGACATTCAATTTATTTCTGCTTAATTGTAATTGGCTGTAATGGTGGAGGTAACTGAGTCAAATGAGAGGCGCCATCTCCAGACAGTTCTTGTTTTTGACATAAAGACAGACATACCTGAGGAATATACAAAACATTCTGTAGCCTCGAAGTAAAAAAAAAAAAAAATCAGGGCAGATGTGTGAAATATATAGAGGACATACATTGGTCTGTAATTTCATCAGAAATCTAAGGGCGGTGACTTCAATGTTGAGACTAACTGTTATAAGTTTGCGTTCCCTATTATATTACCCACTCAAAATGTCATAATCACAGTATTTGTATGCCAAATGTTTGCATCAACAACATAGATACAAACAGTCACTTTGAAAGAAATCCTTTCCATTCAGCAAGAATGTTGAATGAAATCATCTTTTTTCCTTTTCAACGCATCCAATGAGAGACGCAACAATGGAAGTGAAAAAGTGCCACATTTTACACAGGTACAAATAGCTGCGATGATAAAACAATCGCAGTTTTCTCCTCTGTTGCACATGACAGGGGCAGAGTGTGATCCCTCTTTGACTATTTCTGCTCTTAATGCGTTTTGCTATGAACCGCATGGGGCCTTTTACCAATGCTGCTCTCAATACTGTCGACGGAGCGGGAGGCGATGGCTCAAAATCACTTTTCACCACAAAAAGCACTTCAATGGAATTCGATGTTGGGGGAAATGCAAACACACAGACACACGCACACAATAAAGATGCCTCTTCTGCCTCGATCGCATTACCTTATGAAGCCACTACAGGGGACACACCTACTACACACTGCCTGTATTGGACCCCAGCTGCTGGTGTGTGGAGATCCAAGCGGGACGCCCCATACAGTGAAATGTCAGCGCAGCAGGGAGCTGGGAAAAAGGGGGTTTGATCAATAGGAACCCCTCTGGATGTCCATGTCGCCCCGTCAGGCTCTTTGATTACATATTGCTTTGGTGCCTAATGAAGCTCAATTTACGGCGAGGAGAACTGAAAATTTGGCCGCAAGTCGCCGGGAATAATAAGCAACGTTTCACCCGTGTCATCCCATTTAACACTGGCTGTACATTAAGTGCTTTTGTACACTGCGTTACTTTCAAATATGGTCAAAAGTCAGAGCCGATAAAACTGTTCTACCAAAGTAAAAGCTTTTGTTGGGTTACTAATGTTAAAAGAGGCAGACTTCATTGATCCTTGCACTGTGAATGGGGAAATGTTTTGTTCTCTAAAAGGAAATGTTTAAATCTGAGGTATGCAATTGTACCACACAAAAAATACAATAACTATGACATAAAATCCTTAACTATTTTCCGGCTCTACACAGTTGGGTTCAATCACTAGTTTCACATACATGTATTTTTGGCTTCGGTCACTTTGTCACACAGGAAAGTGAGAAAGAGAAGACTGCACTCACTCAACCAATCAGCTCCCAGCTTAAAGTTCGCAAGGCTCTTTCGTACAAGTCCGTGCAAGATATCGCGTTTTCTAATAAGATGTTGACGTCTGGACCGACAACACAAGAATCCCATCTTTTAGGTACTGAAATAGTCATGGGACCTACAGTATAACAACCTAAGCTCATAACAGTATTCAATGAGTGCTCCATTACTTATATGCTAATAACAAATATAGACTTGCAGCGTGGCATCATTTGACTTCTGAGTGTTGTCTCTATTTGTAGCGATAAAACAAAAGCCCTCCATTGTTTGAGAAGATAAATGAAATTGGGAACATGAGCGCTGCCAAACAGATGTACGAGCAAAGAAAAAAATAACAAAATGCTCTTTTGTTGTGCGTTGTCTATGGGCATTCATTCTGGGTATTAACATGTTTGAAGTTTTATTTTTGTCTCTTGTTAGCTTGTCGAGTTTTTGACAAGACAAAAATGAGCCTTGTTCTCATTTACACATGACATTTCTTTATATTTGTTAAAGTCTCTTGTCGTTTGTTTGAGCTGTAACCAATGGAAGCAGATGATTATGGTTGGTGTATTTACACACATTTGGCTTTGAAAAGGCATCTTTGCACACTTGTTTGTATAAGAAGTTATCTTGTATCTGTATGTTATCAATTCTTCATGTTGTGCAACGAGCTAGTTTGGCCGCTTTGCTGTTAGTGACTCGATTAGGGCCCGGCAACCAATACAGAGGGCGATTATGTCTGTATCTGCTCTTGATGTTAGATATACAATCGTTAGCCAAAGACGCTAACAAAGAAGGCTAGCAGCGAGCAGTTTCTTTTGCGAGGAACCTCAAGGCTGATTTTGACCTGATTATTTTCTCACAATATAGCACAAAACTACAGTATATATGGCATAGGCTTCATTAGCAGAGCTGAGGTTGGCTGGATGACAGTGTCAACTTGTGTTTATGATCTCTGCTTTGGGCTAGTGTTAGCATAGTTCCATATAGTGAACTGTCAGTGTAGTAGAGAGCTGGGAAAGGTCAATTTTGGAAATATGGAAAAAATGAAAAAGAGGTGAAAAAAAAGAAAAAGGAAAAGAGAAAAAAAAGATCCAACGAGTCAATATTGGTGAAGGTAAAGTTTTCCAATATTCGATGGTGGCTAAGTGGAAGGGGCAACTTCAAATCAAAGACAAATCTTCAGAACTGCCCGATTTTTTTGGCAAACTGATAAATCGCTCATTCCCTAACATCAATATAAAGAATTTTTGACCCTCAAATAACCGTCTCTGGCAACATGGTCCTTTCTATTTCCTCAAACTCAACTGGAGCTGAAGTCCATACCTTTGATTTCTCCGATGTGCCCTGAGCCCATTGCCAGAAGTTTGTCCTTCCAGTCTTTAGACAGCAGCCTCTCGATGCTGGGGGGCTCTGTGCGAGAGACAGGCAGAGAGAACGGGTTTCAGATGACTGGCCAACATGACAATAAAGCTCATTTAAAGTCCATTTTCCGTAATAAAGGCAGCCGCTGCTCAGTCTAATGGGCACATCAGCAGGCGAGAGAGAGAGCGAGAGAGAATCGTGAAGAACAAAACAAGCCGTGGCTGAACGAGCGGCCCTCACCTGCTGCTCCTGAATCATTAGCCCTGTGTGTTCTGAGACAAAGAGGCCCTTAATGCACCCACCACAATGGACACATTATCAGCCAGGCCTTTGTTTCCAACACACTCTGTTCTCCTCCACAGCAGCCGCACACACCAGTGGACACTCTCTAATTACACTGCGCTAAACCGGGGACATGCCAGATTCATACACACACACTCACACACACACACACACTCATACACACACACATACGCACATGTCCAGAGCGCAGCAGGGAGAGGAAATGTCACCGGAGAAAGCGGACTCACGCGGTGAACGGGCCCGCGATGTGGCCACTCACAGACACACAGTTCAGCAAACAGGAAATATTGTGATTGAAAAGACACAAATTGGTGACAGTGGAGGGAAATTACTGAATGTTTATTGCCAAATACTGATGATTTGGAACAGTAGAAGGGATTCTTCTCGGGAGATTCCAATATGTGATCAGAGTTATGAGCGTGTGAGGATGAGATTTGTCAATATGTATATTCAAAATTAGGCTACAAGTGAATCAATCAAAAGTTATTACTTGAATAGATATTAACTAATCTTTTTTCTGATCCTTACATGGACTTAAAAATGCAGACAAGAGGTTTTAGGACTCAAATAATTCCATAATGATAGCAGTATGCACTGACAATGTGAATACAGAGTACTTCTAATAAAAAAAAAACTCATATTCACTTACCTTTTGTGATCTAAATAACGAATTAATGAATCAAAAGAATAGTCTATCAATATCTCCCAAGTCTGTCTAATATCGCAAACTGCACTCAAGCTGTACAAGTAACCACAGATATCAAAACCTTTTTCTTGTATTATCACAGTCTTGGTCTGAAAATGTTTTCGCGTCAAGCAACAAAGACATCGTGGACATGTGGATGTGGACAAAAGGCAGTGTGCACGGCGTGGAGACCGAAAAGTGTGAAGTACAGCTCTATTTACTGGTGCCATCTGCAGTGAGAGACAAGCCTCCAGTAAAGAGGAGGTTTTACTCTTCAAGTGGAGACAGATTAACCCTATCATCCAGTGCAAACACGCTGCCTTTAAACATCTCCTCTCTCTGCTTACACATAACATCCCACAGATGCAAAACCACTGGCAACTGCTGACGACAGCTGAAAAGTTGGTCTGTCGCTGGATTATTCCCTCCGCATAAGTTTAAATGACACAAGCGATTTATGAAAAAAAAAAAAAAAGTCTTAATCTGTGTGGTATGTGACAAATATGTACACACACAAACACTAATGCTTTCTATAGAGAACCAGTCCAGCGACAGAGATTAGCCATTTCTCTCTGCTAAATTACACACTCCTTAGCTCTGACCTCCACATATACATACTGTATACCGTATAGATTAATGCTGTGCTACACCCACTGAGTATGCGGTTGGTGGTTCAATCCGGACTCCAAAAGTGACCATAATTTGTATCTAATAATTTAGATTCGTCAGTTGGATGGATACATATCTTTTCAAATGTCCTTCTGGTGTTAACATATGGAATAGAAAGGTGTGTAAGTGAAATCAAAAAATTAGAATTATGCAAAAACAACTCACATAATTGCTTTTTAAACACTGTAAAATGTCTGTTACAAATGACTTGAATCTAAAACTTCTTTGTTTGAATAGATGAAGACTTTCTATAGAGAATGGTTCAATGAAGCTTATTGTTCTAAAACATCCATATGTTATGCCAATCAATTGTCTACGCAGCCTTCTCAATTCCTTGAACAGAACAAGATGTATGCGTTTTTCCAGAGCAAAACTAACTGATTCTTAACATTAAACTATGTCACATCTGTCTTTTTATGTATGACATTGATCGAAAAGTGGAACCACCTGGAGATTATCAGGAATGTAACTTGTGATCGTGCACAAAAATCAAACATGCTTGTCCTATATACGGCCCCTAACTTAAAGAACATACACTGAACATAGACTGAGTGCATCCCCAGACAAGCAATCGTCTCTCAAAAGCACTGACTGATGACAATAGACAAGTGTGGAGCTGCTGTGTCCACTTCCAGTATTGTGGCTCAGATGGTGCTCTTGGCCTTTGGAGGTGCCCTTGGACCGTGGCAGGTCTGTCCTTGGGCTTTAGTGCTGTCACTCATGGAGATTGTTAGAGACCAAGTTGGACCACTGTGTCCCTGATGTGTCCTGCTGCTATCTGTCAAAGCCTCAGCTGTAGCCTTGAGGGAAAAGGCACAGAAACAGTAAACAACGTCATTCATAGAAATTCAAAATAATGACATAAAGGGACATCATGCCAGTTTGGACTTGGTCAGGGTCCGCCACCCTTTTAACTGCTCTGTATATGATATATGGTCCATACAGTATGAAGTAAAAATGAGTAATTGCTGTTATTAAATTGCAGGTGAAATACACAGAAGAGAAAAGTGAAATGAGGCACTTTCAAAAATAAATGTGCAGGCTTTGGTGTTGGTAAATTGGTCGCATTGTGTCTATTGGGATATTAACCCTTATTTTTGTTTTTTCTTATTAGAAGACTAAACAGAAAGGTTGAGCCATAAAACACTAAGAGATATTTCAGGAGACAAAATGCTACCTACATGTTACCTAAGACTTCAGAGTCTCAAGAAAAAACACAATACTTCTTCATATGTATTTTGGTGCAATTTCATATGTATTTTTGTGTGCGACTTGTGGCTATTTTTCGAACAAAGACGTAGGGAAATGTGTGAGGGAACCCAGGTAGCTGTATAGAAAGTGTAGTGGAGTGCTCAGGTAGCAATTGTGTTACTTTGGCGCCTAAAGGCCGCCAAACTGACCGTACAACACAATATTAGATAACCCGGCCCAGACTCAGTTCATGTTCCTTATGAGAAGACGTCATATGTCTCTCTGAAACCTGGCAATATAAGACAACGAAAGGAAGTAACATTGTGTGTATTCCTGCACTGACAGCTGCCCTCGCATCAGCCCAACAGGTGCTATTAGCCCCCCCACATACACACACATACACTCCTCCACTGTCTCACCCCCCTCCAGACCCCTTACTGCCTCAACAATGACAGAGGCTTTTAAGCCAAAGAGCTTTGACAAGTGAGAGGAAACAACAAATGGCACTGTCGCCTGTTCTCTCTGCAGCACACGGCCTCTCTGTCTCCATCTCCTAGTTATTATTTTTATTTATTAACAGGGCTGCTGCTATTGTCCCCAGTGACAGGCCTGGGCCACTTTAACTATTAATAAAAAGCCAAGAGCCTCTTTTCATTGTACAGCCTATGGCAAAAAGGGAGGAAATGGCAAGAGAGGCAGAAGAGGGAGATGCTATGGTTGCTTTTGATAGGAAGATGATTGATGTGCTGTACTTTATGAGTGATTTTGACCCAGGGCCAAGAATAACAAGACAAAATGAGGGATGAAAAGTTTTTTGATCAAAAATAAGGATGATTCAAGTCATAGTGTAATTGTAAGTAATGTAAAATCAAAAGAATTAGGCATAAAATAAGTCATTTGTCTTTCTAAGTCTGGTTTAATATGCTTCGTGCGTTGTTAATTGTGAAATTGTGATATATTTTCCCACTACACGCTCTACATATGATCTTATAGAACAGATGCAAAGAAAAAACACAGTCCATTCCATTCATAACGGCATATCAGTGATGACCTCATGCACATGCCATTGTCCATGTTCTAACCATACAATAGCTTAACTGTGCTTGCGTCACCAGCTCTTGTCTGCGATGCTATTTTTATTTTTTGCACTGATTTTGGAATGTTCTTGGGAAAAGTTGAGCCTATGTTTCAAAACCAGACTGTGTGTTATGTTGATTCCAATTCATGTCAGTTCAAAATAAAAATGAACATGTGAACGCCCCAAAACCAGCCCAACTTTCCCATGACAAATAGTGTTTCCTTTTCAAATTCAGGAAACGGCATATTACAGTAAAGCTAATTATCTCCCTCCCCTCTCTGAACAATCTCAATGTCTCTTGTTAATTAGGCTCGAAATAACATAATAAAAAAGCTGCACCGCAACTTTCCATTGGAATCCGACTATGTCCTTGTGTACGAGGATGGTGTCAATGTGAATATTGTGAGCTCAAAGGGTGGTGCCTGATGCCCACGCTGGGTGTGGGTTGCGAAGTTTAAGGGCGGGGTGTTGCAAGCGAGGGTTAAAAAAAAAAAAAAATGTAGGGGAAACACAAGAGGGAGTGTAATGGGTTTGGTACAGGTGGAGACCGCAGCAGTTATATCCAACAAGAGTCAAAATTATTGTAAAAACAGGAGACTTCTACATCAATTACAGCTGAATTTCAACAACAACAAAAGAAAAATTGTTCCAAAGAAACTTCAATCATGTAGCAATAGAATACCTTAATATATAACATGAAATCCAAGAGAAGCAACGTTAAATTGTATATAGGCATTTGCATATTGTGTATTCTTACTTCGAAATACCTTTTGTACTTTTTTTAGAAGATTTGCTTCCATATTGATTTCATTGAATAATACGGTATATTGTTTCTACCCAGTGCTGAAAGAGCCTCGTAAAGCCATGCGCTGCCTTCATCTATAGATCAATATGTTATCTTTTGTAAATGGAACGAAGAAGCCCTGTAAGTCAATATACGATGCTTTGGGCTGAGAAATGATTGACTGAGTGGGGGGGAGTTTCTGCTTGACTGAAACAGAGGATATGAATCAGCGATAGAGGCCAAAACATTATGAACCAACTAAAGATAAAGATAAAGATAAACTTTGAGAGCTATTTAAATTGTTAGACTGGTTTGAAAATCAGGTACGACCTTAAATG